AAATGAACAAGAGTAGGACACTTTTACTCTTACATTTGACACGTGTTTTAAACCTTCTTAAAGACATGTCACTCAAATTACAATATTGTAGTATGACTCTAAGACTTGTATTGGAACGAAGTATGACTCATCTTCTTGATTTAACCATTTCAACAATTCAAGATCCCTTCTTCTTAGTCATAAGAATGCACTAAGACTTCCTTAGAGAACTAATTTTGATATGGTTTCTTAATCATTAAGATGATCACAAAACTGATACTAAAGTACTCTCCCATCTTTTCAGATTTGAGGAACTTTTATCCTTCTGCCTAATTTGATTCTTCTTATTCGCTCTGCCATGCATTGGAACCTTTTCCAATGTCTCAGAGTTACACTTAAGCTTGTAAGTATAATCATATTTACTGAGCTTTAGTAAACTATGACGAATAGCCTTATATCTTTTGTGGTGGACTTAATCAGTGCACATGACTATGTACTCGATCCCTTAGTCCATTACTTGACTCACACATCCATGTGAACAAGTAATTAGTCTTAATTTTTCCAATACTTGAAAGTTCTCATTCATCATGCTATACAACTTGCATGATTCCAAGTCCCGGTCCAATTGAGACTTTGGATGATGAGAATCTTTCCTTATTTGGTAAATTTAGACATTACCACAAATGAAGGAATCAATTTCATATTTCCACTCTTGCTATTAATGGAATCATATAAGCAACAATTTTTCCTCAAATGCCATTGTAAGGATATTTTTTAAAATAAATAAAATCATCATATTTTTTTCTTTTATTTTAAAAACTTTGCGGAAAAGACTATCCTTACAATCCATATGAAACTTGTTGTTATCTATTCCTAAGCAATATCTCATAACTCCTAAGAAGTAGCTCAAGAATCCGATCTTCAAACTACGCGATAGAAATCCATCTACTCGATCAGATTCAGCATATTCTTTCTTTAAGTTTCTTCACTTTTCTTTAATTCTTAAAACATCACCATGTGACCCAGTCACATTATGTATCAAGAATCTCAGAATAGAAACTTAACAGAGTTAGATAGTGGACTTTACCTGAAGTAGAGTCAAACTTATTGACTTTAACATCCTTAGGTAAATTTGGAAGCTTCGCAAATAATGACCCTTTCTTTGGCAATATAAACATATGGACCCTTTGATAATGGTACACGGGACTATCACAGACTTAGCTTTTCTCTTTACCATTTGTTCAACCGAGTTGACTATGGCCGATCCCTTTCCATTGGGAAGAGAATGCTTTTCTGGATTTCCTGTGTCACTATTGTCAATGTCCATCAAGTTTTGAGGAAGTTGATCTTAACAAATAGATAAGATCATTAAGGGTCTTGTCATAGTCTGTGTCATAAGTGTTCCAAAAGAACTCACTATGTGACTTAGAAAGTGATTGAACCACCAACTTTCTCAAGACTTTGACACCCAACTCTCCCGGCTTGTCAATATGTGACTACATCTCCAAGATGTGACCACACCTAGACCTTCACTTGCCAATAGGGTTCGAGTGACCTTAAACTTTTAAAAACTTGTGGGGTAGGGAGAATAATTGGAGGAGGTGAACGAAGTATGATTTCCATGGAACATCATCTTCATTTAGGAAAGCTTGTTTCAATAGATGTGACCACACCTAGATCTTCACTTGCCAATAGGGTTCGAGTGACCTTAAACTTTTAAAAACTTGTGGGGTGGGGAGAATAATTGGAGGAGGTGAAAGAAGTATGATTTCCATGGAACATCATCTTCATTTAGGAAAGCTTGTTTCAATAGATTTGGGAAGATCATAAATGTCTAAACCAGACATCTTTTGGGAGATATTCAAGATAGTTGATTTTAAAGTCCTTAATATGACACCCAATATGAAATATTAAGGCTAGGACCCAACAAACTATTTTATAACTTAGAAGAGGGATGCCGTAATCCAAGCTATAAAATATTTGAAGGTAGGTGAATGACGATTCACCAATTTCCACCAAGGTAAACGAAATGTATTATTAGGTTTTAATTGGTTTTTGAAACTCCTAGATCTTTTAGATTCATTGAACTGTTCAATGGCATGTTTCAATCTCGAGTGTGCCCTTCAGGTTTTGTGACTGGGATGCCGAGGATCACAAAACAAGGTGTGAAGTAACCATGCAAATTACTTGGTACCTTAAGTGTTTACCCCTCAATCGATGTGTCGGTTAACCACACACGCTCCATCGATACTATGATAAACATTAAGTTACCCTTTGCCTACCTTGTTAAATACGAGTTAGTGTGTCGGTTAACGACACACGCTCCACTAACCGACTTAAACAAAGTGCAAAGTGTAATTTCATGGATTAGCACCTTATTCACATTTTCCTAAGTAACTAAGATTGGGTATTATTAAGAGTTTAGTTACTTGGTATTTTTCATTAATACTTTTAATGAAGGGAGAATTATAGTCTTGTCAAACCCGTTCGGCTAACGACCCTCCACCAGTCAAGCAAGCGGTGGGTGAGAGTAAACACCCATTAAGTTGCCATTTTATAGGCGACAACCTTATACCCACCTTATAGACCGGCTTCGTGAATGAGGCGTACTAGCGGTAAGACTGACTTTACTGTTATACATATATATATATATATATATATATATATATATATATATATATATATATATATATATTATTAACTTATAATATTATAAAGTATAAGGGTTGGATTTTAACTTTTAAAATTCTAAGGGCTAACTTGGAATTAAAGTATTCATAAGAGAAAACTTTACAAATTCCAAAACTTGAGGGCAAGTTTTGAACTATTCAAAACTAATTAATTCCATAACTTATGTGTTTAAAGTAGTTTTAATCCAAAAACTCTTCAAGTTCCATAACTTGAGGACAAGTTATGGAAGACTTTAAACTAATAAAAGAATTAACTTTTCTTTATTTTGTAACTTATGGAATTAATTAAGGTTACACTTTTTTTTATTATTATTTAATGAAGAGACTCTTGGTCCTCCATAACTTGAGGACAAATTATGGAGTCATAACTCCAATTAATTAGAACTAGACTCTTCATTTTGTAACCTTTGCCAACTTTTATGAGTTTTATGAAACTTAAATGTGACTTTTCATATAACTTGAGGACAAGTTACAAAAACACATTTTAGAATCAACTCTTAGATTAATTTGGATTGAAAACAACTATTTCACTCAACTTTTCTATTAATCTAAGTAACTCATAAGAACAAGATAATTCAAATCAAACTTTTCCATGTAATTAGTCTAACCCTTAAACTAATACAAAACATAAATCTATTGACAATTATCTTTGAAATTGGATTAGCATGAACATTACCTCTTAAAAAAACAAGTTTATAAGTTCAAAACAACTTAGGGTAATGTTCCTAGTCCATTTCTAGCCAAAAACCTCGAAAATATGTTGTCTGGGGGTCCAACTCGTCGAGTGCATGAACCAACTCGGCGAGTTGGATCGATTTGATCACTTTTTAGGCATGGACTCGCCGAGTCTGATGATCAGACAGCAACAATTTCGATTTTTTAAGCAGTTTTGCAAGTATAAGAAGAAAACAAGCCTAGGCTCTGATACCACTGTTAGGTTTTGAGCATTCTAACACTCCTATGGTGTACATACAACCCTATAAACCTTGGATCTATGTTTTCTCTATAATACATGCAAATAAGAACTTTCCAAGGCTTTAATCCTAACTAGCATATTATGAAGCACTTGTACTACAAAGTACTAGTTAGATGACATACCTTTTGATGTAGCTTGATGTCTTCAAGCTTTAAGAGCTTAGCCCCAATAGTGTGGAAGCCTCAAGTGGAATCACAAATCACCAAAACACCTTGGAAGACTTTAGAGAATATGAATACTTGGTTCTCTCTAGTGAAATTGGCAAGCCCTTCTTAGTGTATCCACACTAGTGCCAATTTCACCAACCAAGGACATCTTTATATAGTGTGGAGGATTAGGGTTAAACCCTAATACCCATGACCTTTCATTTCCTAGGACCCATGGGTTCAACACTCCATGGACTATCCATGAAAGCTTAGCCCAACCTAAATGAACTTGGCCCATTCCATATATATAAGAGTCCATATTTAATTAGTTCATTTTGATCACTTAATTAATTCTAAATTAAGTCTTGATCAATACTAATTAAATAATATGATTCCTTATTAATATATTAGAACTTATAATATATTAATATAAACCATAAATATACTATTCTCAAAAGACTATCCATATAAATTGTGTCGGTGAAGTGCAACCCAAATGGACCATGCCGGGTCGGGTCAAGTACATACCAAATATAGTTATGGACTTAGACATTAATCCAACAGCACCAACCGCCAAAGCCGATATCCCAATGTAAGGCCATATCGCCAAAACATCCTCAACATAGCATTCTCAGTAAACGACCCTTGGCCAGAGCATTGGGACCCCAATAATCCATTGCACATCACCAGATTTTATAGTCAACACCGTGTTGAACAAGGTTACCAGAGTCAACATGATCTACGAGCACTACCTTCATCAACCGCCAATCAAATGGAAAAAGTACCTCCAGTCACCGCGCCAGCGCCCACTAGTTGGCTTCACTGGTCACCGTATTTAGCCAACAAGAACAGTCAGAATCCTATTCACATTGACTAGTGATGAAAGAGCAAAGGAGATAACAAGGGTGCTCGAATTCCTAGTTGTCGATCGCCCGACAGAGCACAACATTCTTTTAGGCTGACCTGCACTTTTCCAGCTGCAAGAAATCCCATTTACTCTCCATGGTGTTCTCAAATTCAGCACGAGTGATGGATCAACAATGGTAGTAGCGACCAAGCCGGCAATTGGGCACGACGCCCAACGAGGAGCAAGGCAAGGGACCCAATCGCGTCAAAACGAAGGTCACCTAAAAAGAGAAGACCCATAAAAGAAATCTATTGTAGCACAAGTGGCAACTCACGAGATCAGGAAAAAATGGTGAGATGTGTTCAGTCGACTTGCAACATCTCTCCCACAGGAGGGAACTCACGCCGATCCAAGGAACGCTCAACAAGGATATAGAGTGACAAGTGCACATCAAAAAACGTTGGCCCATAGACAAAGGCACCTGCCTGGCCCATAATTGAAAACCAGGAAAAGCCCTGAACAATTTGGGACCCAAAGCAAATCTTCACCGATAAACCCAAGCCCCTCAGAACAGAGGGTGCAAGTACACATAATAACAACAACGGAGGTGGAATACCACTCTTTTTTACGAGCAGCTTTTCACATAGGAGAGCACCAACAAGAGTCCTCAGTATGAAAAGCAACATCCACAGTGATAGCAAGACATGCATGGAAGATGGGTGGGTAGAAACGCACAGGAGGCACGCTCACCTGGACAAGGGGAGGCTCTTCCAACGATTGCAACACACATCGGGTTGCAAAGAAAGACAGATGAGAACATCCACAGGGAACGAGAAACAAACATAATTTCTCCACACCATGCCCCGCTGGGGAAAATAAGAGGAAGCCCTAACCTATGAAGGCTGACCTACATCAGGCACAAAAAGATGTCACTGCCAAACAAGAAGTATGACCCAACTCCGCACAGGATAGCCATACTTTAGGCACCAAAGCAAAGACCGGGCACATGCCTTGACATTTAGACATTCAACGTCTACTGTCTCATTTCTTTATTTTTTTCCTTTTAGAAATAATATAATTTACATTTTGAAATTTTTTTCCAGAATTCTGTATTACAAAAACACAAAATATAGAGGTTGTGCATATTTTCCAAGTAATAACAACGGCTAATCACCTACGCTACTTGAGAAAAATCTATGCAAGAATGCAGTCGTAGGTCTTAAAAGAATCATAATCTTTACCTAGAATATGCCAAATAACATCTCAGAGCTGAGATTGTGTAAATCGCACAAAACAAGGGGTCATAAAAGGTTCATAATCTTTCCCCCTAAAAATCGAACAGTAAAGGCCTTGAGATGACGATCTCGACCAATGTATTGGTAGCTACACCATACAACATAGTCAACATCATTGACTATAATTTCACAACTTAATTTCAAAAGCCTAATTAAACATACAAGTCATAGGAACATACCTCGGTAGTAGTAGCTATGCGACATCCGAATCACTTGTTACCAGATTAATGCAAACCCTAGAACAATGGAATGTGCAAAAACGAATTACAGCTCAAAACATGTGCATACATACAAAAAAAAGAAGGGAAGAGAGCACTTCCATACCAAATACAAAACAAAAAATACAGTCCATGGTTATTAGCAACAAATGTTTTACACTATACACATAGTACACAGAAAGACGAACAACATGGGACATATACAAGTCAGCCCTTGGAGTCCGAGGAAGAACATCCTACGCTAACCTTGCCACAAAACTGACGGAAGCCATCATAACCTAACTCCCCTAAACGGAAGAGGCCAACAAAATCTGTCTCAGCAAAAGATGTAAGGGCAGTGTTTACCTCCTTGGCCCTGCTCGCTACTTGATCAGGATCCGAAACTTCAGATTTACCAGAAGATGCGGAGCAACCACTCAATAGCCTCCTCTTCTCAAACCCAAGGGCTTCACAAGCCTCTCGAACATCCAGAACCCATTTGGAAAACTCAGAGCTCTCGATGACCTTCTTAACCACACGAACCACACCCTTTTGCAATACCATTGCAAACTACCTCGAGAAAAGACACCATCAGCATGACCTTGATCTAATTGACGTTAGTACCTTTCCAGTCTACTTGCAAGCACATCCTTCTCTCAAGTGAGAGACCTCACTTGGTCCTCAAGTCACTCTGACCGGTCCTCCAAAGTAGCCACTTGATCCTCTAAAGCGGCTTTCTTGCAGGCCATAATGTCGTTCTGCTCCATTCGAACCTGATGCTCCGCCTCTGAATCACAAACCTCCTCCCACATGCCTACTAAGGCACCCTGCAGTACTTTCAATTGCCCTTGACTCGCACCGGCTAGGCGAATGCAGTCGATGGCAGCAACCATAAGGGTAGAGATCTGGGTCGTGGTGTAACAAATGTCAACAGTAAAACAAGCACTTGGTTAACCCACAAACAAACTCATCGTTGTCAGAGGATGATTGAACCTACTCCACTCCTAGATGGTCGTGTCTTCTGATAGCAAGAAATCCTTAGTAATCACCCAACCCGGAGCATAGGCCTTAAAAGACAAGGAGTGGGATAAAGTTCCTGCTTCATTGATCAGATAAGGCTTTTCACGTTGAAAAGAACCCCCAGGACAACTGGGAACCACCACCTCTCTCTGCCCAGGCATAGCAAATTGACCGCCGAGAATATCCTAAACAACACCAAGGAGCTTGGCCACATACACAGTCCTACGAGCTTTACGAGGATGAAGAACCGCATTATCAAATTATATCTCTTCATCCGACGATGGTACTACATGCAAGATCTGCCTTTTCTAAGTAGGCCCATTACTTCTTCCTGCTTGAACACCCACAGGCAAACTAGAAGGAACAACAAATGGTGAACGTACTAGGGAAACAGCCATAGAGGTCGGCTGAGAAGGCGACGCAGGCCCGCTAGAACCTGCATTTCCCCATTCTACCAAGAACAGCCCAACAAGCTCCCGCATACGCCTTTTAGACATAAGGAGAGGAAGAAACTCTATGAGATCGATCTCCCGATCACAAAGCTTTCCCTAATAGTGACCACGTAGGGTCATCTCCAAAGAAATCCCAGCCTCTACACCAGTGAAACCAAACACCAAAAGTAAGATATCACAAGCCAATAAGATACATTTGTTGGATTAGGTGTCTAATTTCATAACTATTCCTGGAATGTACTTGACCCGGTTGGCATGGTCCATTTGGGTTGCATGGCATTACAACGCTTATATAGACTAAATGAGAGAAAGGAAACTTAAGGATTATTAATATATTATAAGTTCTAATATATTAATAATATTATTTAATTAGTATTGATCAAAGAATTTATTTGGAATTAATTAAGTGATCAAAAAGAGACTAATTAAATATTTGGGGTTAATTGTGTAAATTATCCATTCTTGTATAGTGGGCTAATGATTCGTGGTTTATATCAATTGGGCTAAACCCATAAGTTGCTCCATGGATAGTCCATGGAGTTTATAAACCCATGGATCATGGAATATGGAAAGCCATGATAATTAAGGTTTACATGGTGTAACCCTACTTGTGACACAACTATATAAAGACCCCAAGTCTAGCAAAATCGACACTACAAGCAAGTACAAGACGGCTAGCTGAATTTTGAGTGTTAGTGATCTTCTCTCAAGGTTATTCCAAGTGTTGTGGTGTTATGTGAGACATTTGAGGCATCACACTTTAGGTGCTAGGCTCACAAGATTCTCATGGAATCCAAACAACAAAGGTCTGTTCTTCTACTAGCTATTATATTTAAAAGTTCCATATACCATGCTAGTTTGGTTAAGAACCTTGAAAAATCAAATTTTCATGTATTTTAGTAAAACATAGATCCAAGGTTTCTAGGGTCGCATGAACACCTTAGGAGTGTTAGAATGCTCAAAACCCTTTAGTGCTATCAGATCCTAGGCTTGTTTTCTTGATACCTGATGCAAACTTGTTGGAAAACTCAAAAATGTGCAATCTGCTGAGTCAACTTGCCGAGTCCATGGGGGGACTCGACGAGTCCATGTGTAAAATCATCCTACTTGTCGAGTAGGTTCTTGCATTCGACGAGTAGAAGCCCCTGATTGCATATTTTCGAGTTTTGCTTCTGGAAATGGATTAGAAACATTACCCTAAACTGTTTTGGTCTTATAAAACTTGTTTCAGATGGTGTAGTGGTTATACTAATCCATTTTAATGGTTAATATCAAAATTTAAAGTTTTGTATGGTTTATTTATGATTCTTGAAATTATTGATACGAATGTTCATGAACTTGTGAGTTTAGAAGATCATAGGAATTATTTGTAGCTTTCTTGTTAACTTAATTCTTAATCTTGATGTGTTTTAATGGAATTCATAATTTGTCCTCAAGTTCTGGATTACCTAAATTCACTCTTTAAAGTCCATTATAAAACACATAGATTACATAAAATGAAAAGTCTCTTATTTTAATAAACCATTAACTCATAAGTTATGAAAAATGAAAAGTTTTGAAAGTTACAAAACTTTCCATCAAGTTTTGGAACATGTAAAGTCACTTTAAAAAACTTTAGTTCCAACCCCTAGAATTTTAAAAGTTAAAATTCAACCCTTATACTTTATAATATTATAAATTAATAATATATATATATATATATATATATATATATATATATATATATATATATATATATATATATATATGTATGTATAAGAACAAGTCGTTTTACCGTTAGTAGGCCTCATTCACGAAGCCGGTCTATAAGGGAAGGGGGGGGGGGGTATAAGGTTGTTGCCTATAAAAGGGCAGCTTAATGGGTGTCCACTCTCACCGACCACTTCCTTGACTGGTGGAGGGTCGTTAGCCAAACGGGTAGGACAATGACTTTAATCCTCATTAAAAGTATGATGATTGTAAATTAATTAAATGTTTTATAAATTCCCAATCTTTGTTAATTTAGGAAAATGTGAATAAGGTGCTAACCCATGAAATTACACTTTGCACTTTGCTTAAGTTGTTAGTGGAGTGTGTGTGGTTAACTAGAACACTAACTTGGACTTAACAAGGTAGGCAAAGGGTGGCTTAGGGTTTATCATAGGTTGGTGGAGTGCGTGTGTTTAACTGGCACATCGATTAAGTGATAAACATTAAGAGTACCAAGTAATTTGCATGGTTACTTCACACCTTGTTTTGTGATGCTTGGCATCTCAGTCACAAAACTTGAAGAACACACTCGATATTGAAACATGTCATTGAAAGGTTCAGTGAATCTCAAAGAATCTAGGAGTTTCAAAACCAATTAAAACCTAATAATCTATTTCGTTTTTCATGGTGGAAATTAATGAATCGTCATTCACCTACCTTCAAATATTTTATAGTTTGGATTACGAAATCCCTCTTCTAAGTTATAAAATATTGTGTTGGGTCCTAGCCTTAATATTACATTTGGTTGTTTTATTAATGACTATCTTTATATCTAATCTAAACTTGTCTTTATTTTCTGATGTCTTCTAACAATGTTGCTTCTGGCTCAAACCCTACCGGCTCCTTCTCTCTCATGAACCTTTGTGGGAGAGTCATATTCGATGGTTCCAACTTTACGGATTGGATCTGAAACATTAGGATGGTCACTCATTATGAGGACAATGAATATGTCCTCCACAAGGAGCTTAAGGAACTTAATGAGTCGTCTGCTACTCCTGAGGAGATCGACGAATTCTGGACTCAATGAGAGAAATTCCACGAAAGTGGCATGTATCATGTTGGCCACGATGACAGCTGAGCTCCAAAAGTCCTATGAGGACTATTACCCTTTTGATATGCACCTGGACTTAATGGACCGCTACCATCAAAGTGATCACCAAGAGAGGTATGACATCATCTGCTTCATGATAACAACCTGAATGAAGGATGGTGAGCCCATCACGAGCCAGTTACCCAAAATGCAAAGGTATGTGCACCGTTTGCTGAAGCTAAATGTGAACTTCCCCGAGGAGTTGGCAATTGACATCATTTTGCACTCCTTATCTTCTTGTTTTGATCAATTCCAAATGACATAGCACATGAACAAGGAGGAAGTTACACTCAGCAAACTTCACGGACTCTTGAAGACCGCCGGAAGTGGTCTTAAGGGTAAATCGGTTGTTACCGCTCCTACTCCTACCGCGGCCCCTATCTTGGCAACCGGACAAGGCAAAGTAAAGCATAGGAAGAGCCCTTTGAAGGGTACCAAGGGAAAGTCCCTTGATGGCTACTCTTCAATTGGAACCAAGAAAGGTTATGTCACTCCTTCTGCCAACCCTAAAGAGGTTGAATGTTTCTTTTTCCACAAAAAGACGCATTGCAAGCGAAACTGCCCAAAGTATCTGTAAGATGCTAAGGATGGGAAAGTGAACCCCAACCATGCAGGTACTTACACTATATTGTCTAATAACTCACCCTATTCTAACTCTTGGGTCCTTGATACAGATTGTGGTATTCATATATGTTCTAATGTGCAGGGACTAAGAAGAAGTGAGACTGTGGAACATAGGAAGATAAAATTAATCATGGAGAATAGGAAAGCTTCACCTGTCACCAAGATTGGAGTTTATTGATATGTGCATATTTAGTGTGTATTAAGTATAGTTTTGTATTCGTATATTAGCTAAATTATCGCGTATTATGGACAAAAGGTACTTAAAAGTGTTAAATTATGTTTTTCAGTCCAAAGATGAAGCTTGGAAGCAAAAGGAAGCAAGAGAAGCGGTTAGGAGCTCGAGAATGGAATGAAGAAGAAAAACACTAAAAAAGGCTTCCACTCGTCGAGTCATATAGCCTACTCGACGAGTCCGGTCGAGGAATCAGAAGGATAATGACTCGGAATTCCAGATAGTTATCGCATATGTGTTATGTGAGAGGGACTCGACGAGTCACCACTTGACTCAACGAGTCGGATCGCTTATTTAAAGATAACTTCACAGATCGATTAGAGAGAATTCTGGGACGATTCAGAAGTGTTTTGCTGCGATTAAGAAGCCAGAAGAACCCTAGAAGTCGAAAAAGAAAGCTAGAATTCAATTCCGGAAGTAATTAAGGCACAATTTCATCATTCTACTTATTCTTTTGTTTTGTCAATATGATTAAGCAACTTGAACTTGTTTGTTTGTTGTTATTTACTTTAATTATGAGCTAAAATCTTTAGACTTCTGTTTGGGGATACAAAGTTGACAATATGGTTTGCTTGATTGGTAGGATTAATTCCAAGTTGGTGAATTTTTGTTATTTTAGCTTGCTAAAGAACCTTGTGTATGAATAATAATTAATTTTCTGTTAATAGGAAGATAGTTGATTAGCATGAACATCTATTGATTATCAACCTCATATGATATGTGACCACTATACCATATGTCTAGGATTAATGAATATGAAACTAGAATTAATAAGAAAATTGAGTAAATTCATGTGCAAGCTTGTAAGATGACCATCAAACAAGAGGTTAATTAAGAATAATAAATTAATTAGCTATTACAAGTCTAACTTAACACGAATAATTAATCTAGTAAATATAATTAAATTAAGCAATTGGCCACTGTTTGAGTTAGTTTATTTGCTAAGGATTAGGGTAGTGAACATGAACCTAATCACTTGAATCGGTAACCAACGAAAGAATTAATCCATTGCACTATTACCTTGAAATCAACCATAGAGTTAACCGAGTTGAACTAAACAGAAGTTCCTTTCCAATTATTGAATCTAGTTAAATTGTTATTTTCTAGTCTTAAATTAGTTATAGTTAGTAAGTTTCTAGTCTTGTAAAACTAGAGAAAAAAAACCCTTATTTCTTAATCAACTTAGATAGAATTAGTTTTTAATTTAATTTTCCGTTCCCTGTGTTCGATACCCTTCTTATTTAGCTATACCACAATTGATAGGTTGACTGCCTTTTGTGTGTTATTTGATAATTAAAGTAGGTTTAAAACTAAGTGAGTTTACATTTATACTTTTTTGCTAAGTAGTGG